CGACGCCAGTGACATAGGTCATATTTCCCTTTCTAATATCTATTTTCTATCGCTTTAAAAACATATCCTTCAAACAACTGTATTCGTTCAAGTTTTACAAGATAACATTCGAACACATCATGATAATGTAATCTTTGCTCAATACTCACTTTTACAAAACAGAGCCTGAACGCAACATAATGTGACTCAATGCAACCTATGTGCGGTAGGTGTTAGCTCCGTTAGCACCACCAGCTAACATTAGCTCTACTGTCCATTTCAACATGGATTTGTTGTTCGCAGTGTAGCATTATCAGGGGTGTCTAACCACAGGTGTGCACCACTGGTTTGCACGTGTGCAGTACGGATCGGGCAGTGAGCGACGTGTGTTATCGTGAATGAGCTGATAAGCGATATGATAACATGATAATATTTCTGATACTGGTGTCTGTTTCACAAGCTCAAATGCCACTACTTTAGCATCACCTCCAGAGGGCAAGCATGTGTGGATTGGAACAAATGAAGAGTTGGCTCAAGGCGGAGAACCACAGCAGTTCAAACAGCTGAAAGCATGGAAACAGTGTGGAACCCTCCATCGTGTCTTCAACTGAATCCTGAGTTAAATTGGTTGAACGAGCTGGAGCCAGGAGCAACATACGCAACTACTTTGCTTGCGGTGCCAGCTGGGACACAAAGCTACAACAATGAAATCCCACATGTGAAGGTTTTAATAAAAACATTCCTTTTTTTCCCTGCTTAATTTTTAGATAATGAACCTTGTATATTCAGAGGTGCAATTATCTCACCGAGTGCTAGGTCTAATACATGCAGTGGCCGTAATAAAGCAGTGCAGCTCAGTGCTGGTAACCTCATGCAATGGAAGACATTTCTTCAGCGAAGCGGTGACACTTCTGCCTTAATCTCACCCCAAAGGTAGCCATAGATGTCTCTGAAATGTGACCCCCCCCTTCAAGTGAAACAACTGGTACCAGCACTAATTGAAATTTTGCATGCAAAGTGACAATGCCTGGGCCCTGGGCAGCATGGATTAAGGCTTGAATAGAGACGGATTCTTTGTGAAAGCCTACTGTGGCGGTTGGCGTGCAGGCCGGCTCCCTGCATCTGCTCATTGGGTGGACTGAGAAAACACTGGATTGTACACGTCGCTCATTTTACCTTTTATCTCATCCTATTTCGGAGCCCACCTCCGTCCGTCTTTTGTTACTCCTCCACAAAACACAATGCTTCCATGTTACACTCACAAGTCTATTCCTCACTGAACAATTCCGGATTCAAAAACAGCTCCTGGATTTACATATGAAAGCATCTTCGAGACAAACTTGGCAGGGTTTTCAAAACATTAACAATCGTACTGTGCCTTGTTTTGTGAGGGGAAAAAAATGGCAGAGGAAGGGATATGCAAAATACAAATGTAATATATAATCTTCTGAATGACAACTAATTTAAAAAAAACAAAAGTCAAAATTCAAAACATCAACTTGGCCAGTGTTTGGCAGCTTTAAACTGAGCGGGCTCCGGTGAAGGAATGCAGGCGCGTATTGAAATGCAATCAAACCTGCTGGACATTTCTGAAAGGCTCCACGCTGTGATCTCATTCTACCCCACTTCAACATCCTCCGCTGTGGTTTCTGTCCCGTTATGCTTTTTCTTCAAAGAAAAAAAAAAGTGTCTCAAAGTCATCTATCATCCTGCTGACCCCCGACAACAACTTGCATACAAGTCTGGAGGAGGTTGTTATTGCATCATGGCAACACCAATCCTCCCAGAAAGCATTTGCTGTTTGCACTGTACAAACAGTAATACCACAGCAGAAGGGTGGGGGGGCCAAGTGATCCGTCTAGTAAATTTCATCTCCTCCCAACAATACAGGCTACTAGAATTTTATGGCGGGGGATGAATCCGAGAACATCCACTCAACAGAATTAGATGAGTGGCTTTGTTAGCGTGGCTGTCGACTGAGCACTGCTGACAATGAGTGGGTAAACTAACGACGGGATAAATCCACAGCGTGTTTTCATAGACATGTTTGACATAGCTATAGGCTAATTTCCCTGGCAGTACTACTGCCATAAATTTTTAGAAAAAGAGCCTTGTCTGTCCCTGTTTACTAAAGCAATAAGAAGTGGCATCGGTGGCAGATCACATTAACACTAATCAACGATTTACACTCGTTTCACATTCCGCTGGGTAAATTAAATGCCTTTTGAAAAATGGCTGCTGATGCAACGAACGGCATTCATAGTTGTCCGACATGGCGACATCACTAAAGAGAGCGGTCTGAATAGAGATGCCGACTTCACACGGTGTGCAGCGTCGACACTATTCGCAAAAACGGACACTCGGGACACAGATAGGATTTTCTTCAGTTTGGACCCCGGGTTTAATCCTCTAATCCTCTCCGGTACGGCCCCCGTCTGATTTATTGATTACTTGTATAACAAGTCGTATAGTCCTTTCATGCGTTTGTTCTATAGAAATCAGACACACTTCAAGAAACTTCATTAGTGCTCCACTCGATGTATAGTAAATGTATAGTTCATGTTTACCCAAAGTATATTAAGTGCGTTGGCGATCGACACATTTTGCCACACAATGGCGCAGTGTACTTTAGCAGGTAACGTTCGTCAGTCCAAAACAGAACTACAGCATGCAAAGATGTCACTCTCTATTAAACAAAAACAACAATGGAGAAAATGTAGCGTCCCGGCACTAAATGTGTCAAAACGATCCACTCGAGGCTTCTTTTCTGTTGCATTCTGGGACGTGTTTTTTTTTTCGGATTATAGCTCTAGTGACCTGTTTTTCAACCCTTTATTTCTCATACGTAAGCCATCCTCGCAACTTCATTGGACGGTCGGCTTGGGTGATTCACAGGCTAAAATGGAGGGGGGGGGGGGGGGGTGGCGACGGGACTAGCCAATGCAACCTGCGTACTGTACATCCAGCGTAACGCTAAATATCAGCAGCAGCTTCCTAATCGAGCTCGACGTGAACTTCAACACACGGAAATAAGTATTTGAATAACTGTGCCGATTGGTATTGGAGGCACTCGCTGTGTGCTCTCAGCCTACTCAAACGCTTCACAGCGGATTGTTACATGTGGACAAACAGTGATTGTGACCATGTCTGCGTTTTAGAGGGAACCAACAAACATGGGGAAGTGGAACACGGTGTAGCGTCAATCTGATGTTATTTTTGGCATTTTTCACGTCCTGTGGTTTTGGACAAAACAGCAAGAATAAAATACAAAAATAAATAGGCCGGACCGTTGTAATAGTAATCGTAAAAGCATGATATCAGTAAGTAAAAGAAAATAAATCATATTGATTATTATGAGCATGTACAACATGTGGAATATACAGGTTCTTATTATGAAACGTATTTTCTTTTTTATTGAAGACATTTTATGTAAATTTAGTATATACCCATTGATTAAATAATTATTCTATATAATATTAAAAAGCTTTTTTATGCTTGCGAAATGTTCTATAATACAACAGAAAAAATATACATTGAAACAATATATTTTATTATATTAAAAAAAATACAATTTATGGATGCTGTGAAATACATGTTGCCCGATGGTCCCTGTATTTGTATGGTGTGGTTTTAAAGCTAAGACTGGACTGTACATATGATTCCCTAAAATAACAAGTGTGTGCTGGATCAATGTCTGGTGATAAAAGCTTGAATAAAATGTAAAAGCTATGACACTAATTCCAAAGCTATGACTCACATTGCAAAAGCTGGCAATGTGAAATGTAATGTAAGCCTTCAGGATTGCTCGGTTAAGTCTTGGATGTAACCAAGAACAGCAGCAGTCAGTAGAAGTCTGCATAAATATGCATGACGTTTGTCAAAGCCGGTGCCAGTCCTGCATCGGGCCTGACAGGTCCGTCGACCTTCGCTGTGCACATTCAGGATGCTCAACAAATTAGTTTACAGTGAAGAAAGTAGTCCCCCCCCCCCACAGACACCCCCGTTCTCCTTTTTGTTGTTGTTTTAACCTGTGGTTGCATTTGAGTCGAGTGTCTACATAGTTTCTCAGCTCCACCTGTAATTATGAGGTTTACTTCAACTGACCAGAGGAAGAAGACATGTTTGTTTTCTGGCAGCATCATAAAAATAGCCTGAATAAATGTATGGCTGGGCTGTCACTTTCAATTCTTCACTGTGTATCCAATGTATCCTGTCCCTGTCACATGGAAAACTGAGTGCAGCCGCATAGAAATCACCTGCAAGTCATAATTCAAGCTGCAGACTGACACCCCCTAAATTAAAAGACACGCTAGCTTTCATAATCTCCAAATGTTTTTAAGGTTATGGCAAATGTCACAATAATAATCCCTGTGGGTACTAGAGGTCCTATGTATTTGAATACGTATGATAGGACCACTACATTTGAGCACCACAGACTGCTGTAAACACACACAGACATTATTTTCAACATTCAACCTGTTTCATTGTGCGTTGAGCCACGCTGCCTGTTCCTGCTTAGCCAAGCTTTGCTTACAAATGATGAGCGCGAGGACCAGTCAGGGCCTTTTGTAAGTCAAACTATAAAAGGCATAAAACGCACATTTAGTCTCGGACATACCGGGGTAAAGGTGTAAGGAGAGGTTTTGTCTTTCACGTTATCATCCCCAACTGAAACAAAAGCCGGTGGCACGCCTCCACGGGCACGTGCGACCTACCTATATTTAACGTTTTGCTAATTGTGCACCCCAATTAACGCTAATGACGTCCAACAGCATCCGCATACCTGCGGTTGATGCGGGAGCGTGTTTTTGTGCCCCACCATCATCCCTCGTCGGCTGACTCCCAGCACCACAAACGGAATTGTTATAGCACATTAATGCATATTAATGGAGAGGAAAAGTGGTTCATTTTCTGTTAGCCTTCTATAATAACATTATCAAACGTCCAATTCACGCGCTTTGTATTAAAGTCAAAGACGGAAAGATGCGGCGTTAACCGTCGGGATGAAGACATTAGCTTACCTTCAACAGCTATTACGGCCGGTATGGTCCATAATATCCATAGAATATCCATTATTGGTCACTTATATCGCGCAGACATTCAAATAAAATACGTCCCGAAAGCCATTGACAGCACAGGCAGAGAGGGGACAGGCGGTCCTTCACCTCCAATAGAGCGAGCCCAGATAGCAGAGAAAACCAACTCAAATCTCAACCAAGTTTGGGCGAAACCAAAAAAAACACAGACGGAGGGGAGCACCGAGCGACACTAAAAGCAGCTACGCATTTTAGCGTTAAATTCATCCAGTCAGTCTTCTACAGAATAGAAACAATAATAATAGCTGTATTATTAATGACGGAGCGTTTCATATATTTGAATTATCGATGCAGCCGCTCGACAAGAGGATCCTTCTACCCCTTCAAAGCCCCTTCAATTCTCCCCGCTGTCAATCATCAGCAGGAGGACAGTCCACACCGCCGTACCTAGCGATAATTAAGTGTTTTGGGACCATGTGAGGCATTTAGAAAAGATGGAGCCGCTTAATCTCACTGCCGCACCACTCGAAATGGAAATACTGGTCATTCTTTTGTCAGACAAAGCTCAAAACGTGTCTGTGCGGTTCCCTGCGAGGTTCCTATGTGCTAAGAAGGGACTTCTGGCGCTGTAACAACAGGTGACGAACACGGCAGAACAATTAAAGTAAGTTTAACTATTTCTTTTAGCCTACATTTGACCTCTAATATTAATTGTTTAATTGGTTGCCACTTTACAGTTTTGCACTAAGTCTTTCTACTCAGGCCGTATGCCGCTATTTGTTTGAGTGGAAATTTATGTAGTTGAAGAAAAAGAAAAAAATGTGGAAATATTTATGTTTTGAATTACAATTGTATACTTTGATAAAATACGAGTATTGTTAGTTTTCTGCATGTTGATCAATTGTTTTTTTTGTTGAGAAATTGATTGTGGAAATCCGAAAATAATTTATAATTATGGTCTACATTTTATTTCATAAATTAAATAAATTAAACCTTTATTTGTTTAGTTGTTTAGCATGTAAACACATCAATTCCATCGCTCACACTAGCCATGCATGTAATTACATACCGTATTACCCGTTTGTTACACAATTTAAACTATACCTCGAGATTGACATGTAAGGTATGATTTATGCCACATGTAAATCAGAATAATACATTTTTATTTGTCAGTGTGTATTTAAACTGACCCAATAGATTTCAAAACATGATGGATTTATATATATAATTCAATATTTGATTGCTTTTTTTAGCTTCCATCCATAATGTACTACTTTACCACCTTTTTGCAGTTATAAAATGTACTTTAGTGTCCTGCTTATAAAGGAAATACTGAAGGCTGCAATCTGAAGGCCATAACTACAAACTATGGGGGCTGGTCACAGTTATAGCACTCTAGTCCTGCTGTAAAATAGTGCAGTCTGGGATTAAAGTGAAGTATATATAGCTATGATAGTAGCTGAGTTTGCATCTACTCAATTCAAAACTGCCATTGAGTGATTCAAACGAATTGTTAGGTCAATTTAATGACTTGGCAAGATATAATACAAAAGAATGTCTACATGCTTTTATTTAAGTGGTCCATTAGAGGTTAGTGTCTGAGGGAGATGTCTAGTCATGACATGAAAATGAATTGAAATCTAACAATGAATGCATAATCCATAATGGCAGCATTGATTTGTCTTTGCGCAGTAAACCATGTTGACATTTGCATAATGTAAATTTCATATTAATTTAAACAGGCAAGCTGGAGGTGCTTCAGAAAGATATGAAGTTGTTTCTTGTAGCTAAAACGCGGGCCAGCTAACCATTGTTTATGCATCACAAGGAAGGCATCATGTGACTGAACAGGCCTGTCAACCCGAACAGCAGTTATTTTCCAATAACAGAGCCAAAGAATCAAAGTCAAAGTGAAATATCACTTCCTCCAGAATGCAAAACGTTCCTTCCTGTTCATGAATCATAAAACCATATACCGTGGATGTCATGTTGACCCAAAGTATTTTGAGACGCGTCACAATTAATCTCCAAAAATGATTTGAATTGAGTTGTGTTTGCTCTAAGTTGATTTAAGTTGGAGTCTGGCAGCCACATTACTGGCAATCATTTTTCCAACACTCCATAAAAATGCGTAAAATAAATATGCATATTAGTAATCATAACACATTCAACTTTTATGAGTTTTCTGCTGATTTAATAGGATTACTCTTTTCCCAAAAAGGTCCAAGTTGTCAGTGACAGCTGGCGTAAAACTACTTCTGAATTTACTGTGCATCCTGCAAGCCATATTTTAAAAATGTCCTGCCCCAGAAGCTGGTAATAAAATCCTGGTTTCTTTACAGAGTTATGCTGGGTAAAGAATAAAACGCAGGCTGGTTTTCATATGACAGGCATGGAGACAGATGCCATAGGGATACACTGAAGCAGCTGCAGAAAGGCTGTGTTTGAAATACAAAGATACCTGGAGAGAAAGCATGATAAAAAAAAACGTCTAATGTACACAATAATGGCAAATGGCTTTTTTGTACAAAGAAAGTGATGGACACCGAGAGGCAGACAAAAAAAAAAAGAAGAAGAAGCTGGCTTTCAGATGTGTTCATGAGGAATTACACAAGGAATGAGTAAACCTGCCTGGAGAGATAGGCCAAGTGGATATGAAGTATGGAGCCACTAAAGCTGGATGGGAAACAAGAATCTAGTAAATTATCTGTCATCAAACATGCCTTTCTTGTTATAAGCGCCGCACCACTGCAGCAGCGGGACTCTCGTGGGTTAAATGAGCCAGGCTGATTTATTTGCCTCCACTGAGTTTGGCTATATTGATTCCAGGTCACTTGACTGGCTGAGTTCAGATCATGTTCAGGTGACTACAACACAGATGGAACAAAACAGGCAAGGCGCTGAGAAAAGCAGCATTCCCCGCACTCTAATGAGTTCCATACAGGCTCGATATTGCCTTGAGCCAGAAGAGAAGTGAAAGATGTTGCTGAACTGATATTAATACTGCCCACAGAGATCCTTCTGCCACGCTAGGTTATAATGGCTGCATGGTAATAAAATATATATAATGCAAAGCAGAGATGTGTCTGAATGGGGCATAAATCCTCTCATGCTCCTCAGTGGCTCTGATATCCAACATACAGTACTTTACCTATAATGTTACCTGACACAGCAGAGTCAAAACAGCGCCATTTTACAGTAACAGTGGCCCCACCAGTCTACAGTAAACACACCACATAACTCAAAAGACATGCAACAAATTCCCTGTTAAATTACAATACAGCTGCAGCGAGGAGAAATGGATTTCAGCATGCAGTCCACTATTATTATCACTGAAGACATGATTATTTGACCTAAATGCTATGAAGCAGCAGTACAGAGCCGTGTTTGTGTGACATTATTTAGCATGTTAGCGTCTTTAAAAATCCTATATCCTAATTTTTCTTTGTTTTGTGTGTATGTTTTTTTTTTACAAATAATAAAACTAATTATTATTTTTAAAAATAATTTAAATAATGATTACATGAGAGGATATGTTGATTTTATATGTCATATGGAATAATAGTTTCAAATTATGAGATGTTTTTCTTTTAGATGTTGCATATGGACTGCTGCATGTGAAGCATTAATTACTTATTTTATCTTTTTATGAATATCTATGTTATTTTGCACAAAATATATATTTGCTATTATTTTATCACAACAACTGGTACATTTGATTTTGATACATTCAGACACAAACTCATTTTTATGTACGCACCATCTAAAAGATGTTTACACAATTTATAGCAAATCCTTTTGTTTAATAATTATAATAATGAAAAAGGTTCTTTGATTTAATAACAATTTAGCAAAATGGCCAGTGGTAGTCACAGCAAGTTTATTATGATATTTATATTGTTTTGTATCTAAGTTCTAAATATATAATTAATGTGACTAGTTTATTTCATATGTGTTACTTTTATAAATGTCTCAAACCTGCAATGAAAAATTCCTGTTATGTGTCAATGTTAAAAATATTGTGTACAATTTTGAAAATAATCTGATTTATCAGAAATTATTTTTAAAAGTCAGAAATGAACCCATATAATTTAATACAAACTATATATTCACATTGAATGCATCAATATGAATATATATATATATATATATATATATATATATATATATATATATATATATATATATATATATATATATATCAATGGATGGTGATGGATATGAAGCTGTTCAGACTTATACACACAGCATACAGGGATTCATATTTTAATGATTAAATATTATACTTCAAACAGCTCATAAATGGGAGATTTAAATATAAATGTTTTGTATACAATCAATGACCTACAGAGCCACGAGCGTAACAGAAAAATAACTATAATATTGAAATCTTTTGGTCAGTATGAAGAGGAGTCGTGTAACGTGCCTTTGCATCAACACTGCCACCCAGAGTTTAAAAGCTGAACATTCAGTATTCTCATTCTTGAATACACTGGAAATCTTTCTACCGAGATTATTCAGAGTAACCTGTTTTTGTTCATAAATGCCAGGCCATGTTAGTTTGCTGTGAATTGAAAATGATTATCTATCCACAGAAATTAAATGAAAATGATTACTTGCTCTAAAAAACAACATATTTTTAAATGAATAATAATAGTGAATAAACTCTGACTATCCGCTTGTACAAAGAAGATATTTTAGTAAATTTTATCTTCATTTTTATGGCCTACTTGTTTTAGGGTCTTTGACTATAACTTAATGTAAACTAAAAACTAACTGATTGGTGCTGAGTCATTTCAACATACAGTAATATTCATGGTGAAGTTTATTTTAAACTCATATTTAAACTCACATTCATAGTTTAGCTGTGTTGGAGATCTTCTGACAATTATTCACCTATAAATGGATTTATAACTTTTTTTATGTCAAAGCAAATAATCATCATTGATTCAGACCTTAAATTAAACACATGCTTTTATTTGTTGTCGAGGGTGAGAATGAGTTCCTGCAGTTCATGAACTTATTCGTATCCGTTGGAATCTTTTGCCTAAACTTAAAGCCATTCAAAACGAACACTCTGGGCTGGAATCGGTTTCACCTTTAGCCTCAAAGGGCTTACGGTGAAATATCGCACCC